ATGCTGGATGAAATACCAAGAGATGCTGGACAGTAAGAAAGTGATGAACGAAATGAGAGATAAAATGGACGACAACGCTAAGAAATTTGAAGACCTGAAAACAACCGTTGAAGTCAAACTAAAGAACATTGAGAAAGTGACTGACGATTTGGAAAACACTGAAATCGTGGACATTCTTGCAGTAGTGGAAGAGCCAGAATATGAAAATCCAGTAGTTCAAGAGCCGAAAGTTGATGGAGAAGATGGTATTGTCGAGATCACGAATAAACAAATTGCTCAGGAGCATTTAGAGGAAATTCAGGTGGAGCCCGAAGTGGCTAGTTCTGTTCAGAAACTGTCCTTAGATGCGGAAACTGATTCAGTTGTCTCTGAAGGAGATGATGTGGCTAAAACTGATAACTTTTGTGAAAACTTACTAGGTATCATACTATCAAAAGTAACTCTTTCAACAGAGGAAAACTCTCAAGTGGCGAAAGAAGTCGACTCTGTGGAAGAGACATTAACATGATGAAGAACTCCCATCAGACAAGGTGATTACGGACGAAGCGACTATTATGAAGACTGAAGAATGGTCGGTTGCTGATAAAACTGTGAGTGATAAAATCGAAGACATCACTAGGCCAGTGGAACATGAGTATGAATCTATGCAGAAAAATACTCAAAATTTGCTTGAATCAGCGAAAAATTAACCCCAAATAATGCTCAGAAGGAAAACTGTCGAACCGGACGGAAAAAGCGGTTTCTTCTAGTGAAGAATCATCAGATTCTGAGTGCAATGTGCCAACTAGCACGATAAACCCGTACATGATTTGCCAGCATAGATGAAGACGCCAATTTAATAAAAATCGCTACTGAAGTTGAGCAATTTTCCGACCCAGAATTGCCGATAGAAGAAAACGTTCCCATCGAAGAAAATGCGCCAGTCGAAGCTCAGCCTGATGTAGAATCCATAAACGCTGCATCGAATTTGGAACTCTTTCAGCAGTGGCGGCATTAGAGAACGAATCTGTTATTGACACCACCAGAGAGCATCGACGGTTGAGCGAAAATGAAATTAGGGAAAAGGAAGCCATCGATAATAGACGAGCCCACTTGCTGAGGAACGAGCAGGCGCAGCAGTATCTGTCCGATGCCAATGAGGCCGAGAGTTGGATGAGCGAGCCGGAGCTCTACATGATGGTGGAAGATCGGGGCGAAGATGAGTCCAGCGTCAGGAACTTCATCAAGAAGCACGAAAGTCTGGAAGCGGCCGTTGAAGCTTATGCGGACGCCATCAGAGGACTGGGTGAAACTGTAAAGGCCCTGTCGGCTGAAGGACATCCTTTGGCCGAGCAGGTCG